ATTTGTACATTTTAAACAGCCATTTTAACAAAATTATTAAATATCTTATAAATTAATATAAATCTTACTTTAATTTTCATCACAAACTAAATCTTCATCATATACTTCATTATTATACACATTTCGCAGCTTGAATATCAAGAAAATCTTCATTTCCTCCATTCTTACAAGGTTCACATTAATTTGTAGAAGTGATAAATTGCGTATAACAAGTTTTACACTAATCTTTTCTTTCGCCTGAACAAGTTTTATGACATCTATACAAAAAGAGTTAGACATTTCTAAATAAATAGGATTCATCTGAGAGTTCTTGATTGGCTGTACTTGATACTATTATTCTAGCTTAAGATTCAATATGAGAAATTTCAATGATTTGAGTATTCCTAATAGATTAAGAACTATTAACATTGCAGTTTTATTTTGATCCAAAATTTGTTATTTCTTCATAACAAATACACTTCTCATTTTGTACACCTTATATGTTTACAATTAAACATTCATTTTAATCGATTGAATGATAATTTAAAATGTGGTAGGAGATAATCAATTTAAACATGTACAGCTGAATAATCATTTGCACTTTCAAGCAATACTAAATCCATTCCTTTTGGGCATTATAAACTTTATGGTTCTTTATCTTATTTTCTACAAATCCAATTTCTATTACCAAATGAAATAATTTTATTATTGAAATCTTCAAAAACAGATTCCAAAATCTAACTAGAGGACACAAAATAACTATATTAAATAGAGGGCGTGATTTTTCATAATTATTTTTTTATTTAAAGTGAATGCATAAATTTATAGAAATTTATATTAATTTGGAGAACAAATTTTAATTATTTTATAATCAAATATAAATACTTTATAAATTTTACAAATACATAAGCCTTAGATTTCTGATTACAACCTATTCTCTATCATAGAAAGTTGATAACCCTTCAACTTTATTAATCTATAGCACTATAACCTGTTGATACTTATTAGATTTTAGTTATCTATTAAATTTAAAACTATCATAGATCTGATAATTTAATTTAAAAAAAAGAGATCAAAAAAGAAGAATTTATATTAATTTGCTTATTTTAACAAGGAGTAAAATATAATCTTCTTTTAAAATAAGGCTCATAATCTATTTAGAGATTATTAACAAAAATTAACAAAATGATAATTCTAGAAAACTTTATCTTTTAGATTGAATCCACCTATGAATTATGGCCAAAGATAGGGTATCAGATTTATTATTTCATAAAATTTTCCAAAATAACATACAATAATTATTTTATAATTATGTATTTGAATGATAATTAATTACATCAAAGAATATAGATTTAAATTTTATACCATATCCATTGATTTTGATTTTTTTCCAGCATCCTCTTCTATACTATCCTCATTATGCTTTTTATCAATCTTGATAATATCACTTTCCTTATCCATTAAACTTGACCTCATTCAAATTTCTTTAATAAAATTCATCATCTGCATCAATGAATCTCCAAAAATGATTTATCTAACAACCTAACCAAGAGCTATTCCTTCTTACATGTCTTTGGTTATCTCTCAATTAAACATCATTAGATTATTCGTATAACTTAATTCATATGAATGAATTATTAATTAAATATCTTTTATTTTATTTTTACAACTTTAATTTATCCCAACCTCTGAATTTGATCCTTCTAAATGTGCCTTTTTATTTTCAATTTTAACAATTTTTTATAATTATCTGCAATAAAATTAAAGAGCAGTTGATGAAAAAATCTTTCCTTAAAACAAATAAACTTAGTATCAATAGCTTTTTTATAATGCATCAATGCAAATAGCCTTTCTAAGTTGAATCTATGATTAAAGAATTAATCATCAATTCTTTTCATTTCCAAATCCATAATAATGTAATGATGTTTGGTAGAATATTTAATTTAAACTTTTATTATGTGTTTTCTGACTTAAAATTAATCCTTTCTCGATAGCAAATTAGTATTTAATGTAAAAAAAAAAGTTAAAATCTTGTTTTTATTTGTGATATAAAAACCAAAGCTTAATATTCGTGAAGATTTATTAATTAACCCTTATACTTATAGAAATGATTTCATATTAATAGGAAAAATAAAAATGTAAATAAATATATTTTAAGCAACTTTTAAGTTAGATGATTCTACAAATAAATATATCAGATTATTCTGTGTTATTACTTAAGTTTAAATGAATAAGAGAGAATTAAAATAATATTTTTCCATTCCAGAAATTTAGGTAATCAAAAAAGAATTGGTTCACCATTACATATTTTCAAAATAAATAAATGGCATTTTTGTTCAAGAATTTATTTTAGATAGTCGAAAAAATGTAAGATATTAATATTTATAATTATTTTCATAAAATATTTTCAACAATACCTAAGCACAAATAATTTTGGTTTATTTTAATGTTATCAAAAAATTATCTTTTTTTTAGATTACGGAGTTTACAAATGGAAAATTTAACGTACAAATTTAGTAATAAGTCAATATAGCCTCGCTGACTCAATTGCTTTAATAGTGTCTATTTGTGAAGCTTACAGCCCTGGTTGAAAGATATGCTTTTTTACCAGATTCCCATAACTTACTTTGAGAAAATCGTATTTTCAAAACTTTGAAATTGATCTAGTATATCTTTTCATTAGTTTATCTTATATAATTGGGAATTCACATTGAATCTTTAACATTCTTCTCTAAAAAATCTTTTTGATATTGTAGAGGATTCATTCACACACTTCAATACACACTGATATTTAGTAATTTGATCAAGACTATTTTATTAGACTTATAATTAAAATAAATAGATATAAATATTATTTTTTTTTAAATATAACTTATCAAAGAGATGGACCGAATATAAAATTGAAAAAACAATTTCAGTAAATAAGACCAACAAAATGTTTAATTTTCAGCCAGTTGAAATAAAATTATTTTAATTTAAAGTATATATATTTATTAACATATGAATAAAATTAAATTAAAATAATCATATAACAATCATAAATCAAAATTTAACATGATGGGTCTTACTCTGCTCTTTTCTAAGATTCCTAAACAAGTTTTTACTTTATAAATTATAAAATCTGAAAATTTTTTTAATTATTGATAAATATCAATGATTAACGTTGATATAAGGATCAAGGTGAAGAAGCTTATAGTGTATTAAGTTTATACATATCTTAGTAAAGTTTAACTGTACATTAATCCAACCTAAAAGTTCTGCTGTGTTCTTATTAGGAGAAAATTTAATAATTTCATATAAAGAAAAAATAATAGGATTCAACATAATTAATATTTCGATTATTAATAACTTAATATTCTCGAATTAATTTTCAAAAGGTCTATATATGTAGATATAACAAGAGAATACTCCTGATAAACAAGCTGCAATTATACTTTAAAAAGCTACAAGACCTTAGAATACAACTAAATTGATAATGAAAAGGACCTTTTTAAGTAACTGTATAGTAAAGTACTATTTAGATGGTTGATTTCCTTTATAATTGATTCCCTCCACTAATGCTTTTAAGTTTTTTCCAACTTTGGACCTTTTTTGAAGATAGATAAATGTGAAAAATGAAAAGAATAAATTAAATATGAATATACCTAGAGCTGTATAAGAGGTAATAGTATTTATAGTGTTGTCTGTATTGAAGTTGGCTACTTACAAAATAGACGCAAAAGTCAATTCATAAAAATTAGAAGTAAAAATTCTTATTAATCCAGAGTAAATAAAATACTAATAATATTTTCTTGCAAAACTCTAAATTGAAAAAAAATATTAAGCCACTTTAAGAAGGAATGGGAAGTAATTTTTATCAACCTTAGATAGCCAAATCTTAAAACTTAGTAAGGTTTAATAATTTATAAAAAAGGTAAGAGCAAAGGAAGTATGTATACCCAAAAATCAATACAGTAATAAGTGTTTAAAAATTTTATAAAAACTAGCAATTGATTTAATATTCTTCAAATTTCCATTTCGTCTAAATTTGTGGATATTGGAAATCAAAATAAATTTCAATAAATTAATCTATTTAAAACTTATTGATTATTGGAGTTAATGAACCAATATTAAATATTTCAAAATAGATTAATAAAGTTTATGGGAATCTAATATTGTGATATTACATATATGATAATTATTGAAACATATCAAGAAGATTCCATATAATTTCTAAATTTCCACTAAAAAATGCAATTCCACCAACACTAAAGATAAAATATTATAAAATTCTACTTAAGAATGCAGCTTTTTAAATATATGATTTTTGTTCATCAGATATTTTATAAGATGGTTTTAATTCTAATTTTGCTTCTTGAGAGAATAATGTGTTATTTTCATAATTAACAATGTTTTCGCATAAAAGTTAAACTTTTAAAATAGCTTTAGGCACACTACTTTTAAAATCAACTAATATTTTA